GTGTGTAATGAGCTGAAATCAGCACACATAACATATTCGTAACAACAATTGCTGCGGACACAGCTGAAGGCGAATTGAAAACAACAACATAATACACGTTAAATACATTTTAGCTCTTTGATTAACATTTTTATCCGTAGAGAGTTATCTTTCATGGTCTTCCATGGAGGATTCTCGATAAACTCCTCACGATAAATTACGTTTAGATGCAAAAGTAAAATATACCTACCATGCTACTTTTCAGTCTTTGCGAGAAATTAAGCCTAAACTTCCCGCCGATCGACTTTAAATTACTTCAATAGCCTCTTTGAATGCGCACCTGAACAGCAGGCTGATTGTTGTAATCGATAGACAAAGCTATAGACAAAGAAGACAAAAGGGATATGGAGGGATCTTGTCGGTGGAAAAGGGTGGTTGCAATGGACAAAGGAGGTAAAAGACTAACTAACGGCAACCCACGAGAGACCCTATAGTTAGTCGATCATTTGCTCCCTCAGTCTATACTGCCGTGCTACGGAAGAACGCCGTATGAACATTCGAGAGTTGCTAAATTTCCTTCGATAAAATGTTTATTTTTGAGAAAAATTATGAATATCTTTCCTTGAAATTTTCAGAAGTTTTAGATCAAATTACAAACAAAATTATCTGAGAAATTGGAAGGCAAATATTCAACAATTTTCCTGAAAATTAGTGATTTGCCAGGAGAAATTTGGCAACGCTTGAAGGTACATACGGCGATCTTCCTTAGCACGGCAGTATAGGAACCAACCATTTCAACCGGTAGAATCGTTTCATACTCCCTATGTCTTCTTTGTCTATCGCTTTGTCTATCAATGTCAATAATCAACCCGCAGATCTGCAAGTCAATTGGCTCGACTCATCTCCACCGGGAACAGGCTATTATTATATTTAACAAATAAGGAGGAGAAAAAAGGAGTTACGAAGATGCGTCGATTCTGTTCCGGGAACTTTCAGCGTTCCTTGCTTATCACTATGCTCGACGCTCCATCCCGAGTTTCCCGGAAGGCGGGTTAAATATGAGCCGAGCTCGAGGATTGGATTCGGGTGTAAAATTAGAGCGAGACGCGTCCGAAGCCGCATTAAGTTGCCGGCGCGAAATGAGGAGCCGCGGGCGAAAAAAAGATCGAGAGTCAATTTGAATTGTCTCATCAAATGAAGCCGTAATGGTTATAAACATGGCTCACGGAGTCGCCGCACAGTGTGTCAAACCCCCAATCTAGCTGCTCAAAACCCCCCTTATATCAAGTCAACAAATGGTGTTATTTATGGTCAGAGTGGGCCCACAGGCACCCACTGGTTACGTATCTATCATGGTTATCACAAAAATAAATATTGTCGTCGCTAAAATGATAGGGATTGCAGCCGGTAAACGTCCTGCCTCAATCTCGCCATCAAGAGTGGTGCCACTGTATTGCTTTTTTTTAGAGTACTTCGTGGCAAAAAAGGGTCATTTCTGGATGAAACGATATTCCAAAGGCCAGAGAAAGGAAATATGACCGTTGATTTCTCCAAAATCATTATTTAAGTATTATATTTGCTCATTGAAAACAGTGCCCAAGACCGTTTACTTTTCCTGGCTTTAATAGAGCCGCAAAAGCGCGGAACTACACGGAACACCATGAAACTTATATGAGAGTGTTCAGTAAACTATCTAGATTCGAAATATCTTTAGTTTTACTGCTACCTTCCGCAACCTTGAGAATAAGAGCACATTTTGTTCGGCGATTCCTAGTACAAAAGCGTGCGGGCGGCGTTATGCGATCTCCCCCTACAGGCTGTCACAGGTGAATTTAGACGGAGGCAGCATCTCACTACGCCTGCTCGGTCCCCTGATTCGAGTGATCCTTATCATGAGGCTTTTCACCGCAAATGATACGATCGAGTCGTGGCGCAGTTGTTAGCTGCTAACATTATTACCTGCAAGTCCGGGGTTCAAATCCCAAACAGACCAATTTTTTAAAATTTTATTTTCTTTCATTACGACTTTGCCCAAATTTTCCTTTACAGGCAAACATTTTGAAAATATTATCTTTGGCTTGTCATAGTTGCCGAAACGTATCATTTTAATAATATGGAATTCATATTTCTTTGGATGGCCAACTGAGAAATTCGCCATTTAGAAGTGGAATGCATAAGCCCAAGACATCCTCCAGGACTTATTTTGGATCTAAAAACGCAATTTAACTACTTTTTGGGATTCATCAGGTTACATATGGCGCCTAAAAATTAGTTGAAATTTTACGATTTTTACATGAGTAAAACAGGATTTTTAGATGGCTGATATTTTGAAACTTTTGATGACCAAGTTTTGAAATTTTAGGTGAACCCTCTTCAAGCTTACACTAATGCCTGTGCAAAATTTGGTGGTTATCCGACCAAATTTAGAGACGTTAAGAGGTTTTGAGCAGCTAGATTGGGGTTTTGACACACTGTGCGCCGGCCCGGGGTTGCCCGGCAACCGGGGAGGGATCCCGTCAAACCAGATCCACCACCGACGCAATCCTCCGCCGCGACACCCCCACATTACTCATGGTTAGAAAATCCCCCCTCCCATGCAACCCCCCGACGCGGCCTAGATCGTCTCTTGGATCGTCTGGAACACGTCTTTTTATGACGTAAGAGTGTCACTGATGCGCCAGATAGGGGTGGAAATTAAGCACTTTTCTTCATGTAACCCCATGTAAAATATTCCAACTATATCGCACAACCTGGCAAGCCTGTGGTTGGCAATACTGGCTTTTCTCCACTGGGGCTGTTGCACAATTATTTATTTATTTATTTATTTTTTTTTTTTTGCTCGTATCGAAAGAACTAAGGATCCTGATGTCACACTGAAAAAAAAATCTCGGTGAATTTACTAAGAAAAGGGTAAAATTACCTAGAAGTCAGGGTTCTATTTGATCCCAGTTTTTTCTTGGTAAAATTACCATTCATGGAATTGGTAATTTTACCGAGAAATCTCGGTAAAATTATTGAACTTTCTCGGTAATTTTACTGGACCTTGGTTAAAACGCCAATATTTTTTATCGACCGTGGTAGAATTACCGAGATAAAATGGCAAGGTTACCGGGAATTGATTACCAATAAAAGTGGTATTCTTACCTGAAAAAAAATCAGTAAAAATACCGGTTTTTAGGAAGCTTACCAGTCTGTCTTGGTAAAATTACCGATTTGGTTAAAAAAAAGTGAGATGGTAAAGGTACCAACGGACCGTGGTAAAAACGCCGAGAATTTTTTTTTTTCAGTGAGCCCCATATGTAAAATATTCCAACTATATCGTACAACGTGGCAACCCTGTGGTTGGCAATACTGGCTTTTCTCCACTGGGCCTGTTGCACAATCTTTTTTTTTTTTGCTTGTTTCAAGAGAACTAAGGATCTTGATGTCACAGGAATTTTCCCGGAGTTTTTTGACCACCGAAAACCCCCCAAAAAATCAACTCAAAAACGCCTCAAGATTTGGATTTTGGATTCTTATCAGAGCACTTGGCTCCTCTAAGAATCGATTCACTTCCATCGATTTAAATGGAGAGAAAGTAATGTTTGATATATTGTACGCCTAATAAGGAAGTGCTATACTGAATCAGATGGAACTTGAAAAAGGCTTAGCGTGCATCTATTACTGCTTCCAAGTCGCTCAAATTGCCGAATGAATTTTTGAAGGAGAACTGGTCGCTGGTCAGAGCCTGGAACAAAAATTTCCACACGGCACGTTGAATGTGAAACTGCTACTGAATCAGAGCTTTAGGATAGCTTGGCCCCTCCAAGAATCGATATATTTCCATAAGTCTAAACGGAGGGGATATGTTTAATGCATTGCGCGCTTAATAAGAAAGTGCTATACTGAACTAGAAGTAACGTGACCAAGATTCTGCATCTGCATGTGACTATCACTGCTTCCAAGCTGCTTAAATTGCCTAATGAATGTTTGAAGGCGAATTGGAGCTGCATGGCCGGGACTGCCAGGAGGCAAGTATAAGGTCTGCGCCGCAGTTAAAGTGTCCGCGCTCAGACCAGCTCGCCTTCAATAACCTGACATGGGCAGTGTGAACAGCATGGAAGCAGTAATATTTGCGTGCTGTAGCCTGACCACGTTTTCAGCAAAGCGTCATCATGGCCTACGCCGAGGATGCCACTAAACACTGTGTATTTAACGAAACATCGTGCCTATGTTCGTGTTAAGAGTAGAGTCACGACGGCCGTTGAAAGAGTTACTGATGTTTCGCGAGTCTAAGGATCCGATCATCTTGGCACCCTTTTATGACATCTATAATAATTGAGGGGCTTGGAGGACATGGCGCAAAAGCGCAGTTTTTCCTATTTCGAGATATACGTGTTTGAAGTATCGAAATTACATGGATCCTTACGGCAGAAAAAAAGTTCAAACTGACTTTTTGAGGCATAAAAATTGGAATTTATGAGCGAATTTTTCACAGAATATACATCTAGACTAGTTTACTTGAAATAATTAATATCTCACTTTTTTCAAAAACTGCACTTATGCGTTTTGTCCTCCAAACCCATCAATTGACCCTTCTTCAATGAGGAGAGTTATCAGAAATTGTCAGATGTATATTTACTTGCTCCTGCAGAACTCCCGGAACCCTGTCATATCCAGTTCCATCCTGTACCATCCAGTCGTCAACATTGTTTTTCCTCGGCAGTGCAGTAAATGCATCCTTCACAATTTCTGCGAACAAATCAATTGCAAGCTCCCTGAAGTGAATGAAATACTCATGAATATGGAGCGCTTCTCGGAGTGAAACTTTCAGAGGTCGCGAGAGGGTTTTTATATTTTTCTCTGAAATTATTTATAAACGTGCAGTCTCCTCATCCCACCCCGTTAGACCATGATGAGTTGATTTCTGGAACTTTGAGTTTTTCTGTCGAGAAGCCCTTCGTATCGATTTGTTTTTCAATTGAGGGGAGATTTAATTATAGCTGGGTAGTTCTCGCTAACATTTATAAATATGCAGGAGTCAAAGGGTCAGTTTTTAGTATTGCTTCACTCCGTGAGCGGGCATCATGTAAGTACCAATCATAAAAATTCCTTAGATTTGGACAAACCTATATGTTTTAATATCTCTAAAAAAAAGAAGACATAGAATTTTACAATTCCTGTTTTGTCAGATAATCATTGTATTATCTAACGTTACTTTGTAAATTTAATGCAATTCGTTTAGTTTTAGTTTTAAACCATGTAGATAGATACAGAAAATACTTGTAGTAGTTACTTTATACTTAAATAAAATTCTTTAAAAAAAAAGATTTTGACAAACTTAAATTTTAATTTCAGACAAACGGTTGACTTCCACATTTATGGTTACTTTTTTTTAGGTTCTATTTACTGAAATTGTGGAAAACTGAGAGAGAAAATATTCAAATTTTATGTTAAACTCAATGATTCAAATAGCAACACTACCGCATACATAAATAAACTAGAAATTTGAAAACAAATGTTTACACAATTATTTTAGTATTTACACGATTTCATTATTTTTTAATCGCGCCAAGTCAAACTATTCGGTGTTATAGCAAATTTTTAATCAATTGGTGTTCAGGTTGATCTATAAGTATGAATGAGGTACCACTATTTTAACTTTAAGAAACGCATGTTGCCTATCGTTGAAATGAAGGCAATTAATTCCTTCGCCATCACACCGCGCCAGAACCGCACCGTTGTTGTGAAGGAAAAAGTTTCAGTTGTTTCAAATAATGCATATACGTGATTAATGTTCTTGAAAAAGTTTTTTTCATTTTAAAAATCATATGTTGGCGGGGTTTTTTTCATTTTCCTTTTAATTAGAAACACAAGTGTATATTTTGAAAAGTTGCAATCTTTACTATTTTTCCCGTTGTTCGCAAAAATGAAGGGAATAAATTAGGTTTTTCTCAAGAAACATTTTGACCAGTATGTTTGTACCTGCAATGGATCAATCATTGTAATAAAACTTCCCAGCAGTGGCGTTGACAAGGGGGTCTGGAACCCCCCCCCCCCCAGCCTCGATAATAATACCCTTTTTTTACTTTTGGAGGGCAGACGTAAAATATTATCAGGGACGTACACAAAATAATGTAAATTTACAGTCACGGACTGTAACCCCCCCCCCCCTAAAGAATTCCTAGGTGCACCACTGCTTCCCAGTTATGTTAGACGAACGTTTTTTTACGCCTCCTGTGATGTTTTGTCTTGATGAACGAATCATTGCCTATTTGCATATTCCATCCGAACTTTTTTCCATGGCATTCTTAGGCCCTTTAAGTCTCAACCTCTTTTTGACAACATTTTTGTGTTCGCAGGCTCTGTCTATCTTACTTCTTCTTACCCAGCTGCATACTATCAGCGGCTGTCATCATAAATGCAACTCGCAGTCACATACCCGAAAGTTTGACCGATGTTGAGGAAGAGGCTTCTCGCGAGAAGACAGAGGTAATTGTTACATTGTTTACTTGAAATCTTTTAAGAGCACAAAAAAACAAGCAGTGAACTCCAACACAATGTGTTGATAAGGCGCGTCATTAACTCGCACATATCAACCCCTTTAGTTTTCATTTACAGAGATTTCAAAATAGGCAAACAGCATAAAAAGAGAATTCACGATCCAACACTGCGAGGTCAAAGACGCACCTTGACGAGACCGTGTATTGTGAAAGTAGAAAGCTATTCGATCGAATTTAAGTTTTTTGATCTGCCTCAAGCAAAATCTTATCAGATTCTTGAAGAAAAGTGCTACGGAATAATTTAAGCGAAGAAAGGAAAAATTCTGTCGAACTCCTAGAAGATAAAGTCGATTTAAAGGTATTTTGGGGCTAAAATACCCAAATCACCGGTAGTAAAAATCCCGTTATATTATTGAAAAGAAATTGACTCGATATAAATGCAATTGCATTAAATACGTCTTGATTTTGTTATTTTAAACGTCTTTCCATGCAAAGAAGTTCAACCATGTCGTTGCTTTATTCATTCATGAATTGAAAGTAAGCAATCTACATCCCGAAAATCTACTGATTTGCCGTAAAAAATTGCAGAAACTTGATATACCAGGTCGATGCACCCACTCGTTGAATTTACCAACCAATTTTGTGAGTGCAAATGTGTAAGAATCAATATGCTATAGTCATTTTGGGTGCATTTATTTTTCATGAAACAATAATAATTTCAATCCCGAAAAACCATCAATTTTCCGTATAAAATCGAAAAAATCAAAATATGTCAACTCCCCGACGTGAAAATTAGATTCTACGTATGTAAAATGTAAATACTTATGTATCGATATGCTGAACAGAACTATGTGTGGACAGTCAGAAGCCCGCGGCAACATTAATTCAACAGAAAAACTGTAAAAATTAGATAGGATTTTAGCCGCTTTGCCCGCCTCTCCTCGCTACTTACAACAAACCGTTCTTATACTCATCTCAAAATTTTTCTCAGAGCTTTGGGTTATTATCAGCTTCCATTTAAACTCCGGTTCGATGGCCGAATCGGCTGCCAAAAAAGCAAGCCACTGTTGAGGGGTTCTATGAGAAATTCGTGATATTATCGGCTCTCAGGAAATCACCCCATGGCTAAAATTGGTGGTATAAATGTTTAAGTGCTTAAAATAATCGTATTCAAGAAACTAAGGAATTAAACTATGGAGTCAATTTCTTTTTAATAATATAACGAATTTACTACCGGTGATTTAGCTATTATAGCCCCAGAATACTTTTAAAGCGCCTTTGCGTTCCAGAATCTCGACGGAATTTTTTTTTTTTTTTTTTTTGCTTAAACGATTCAAGAAACATTGTAGTTAAAAATATAAAGATTTTTCGATTTGGACGTATGAAAAATGTTTAACTCGTTCAGGCACACCGTGTATTGTATGGAGTACTGCTGTTATTCGACCGTTGTCTTCAGGTCAAAATTCTTACAAAGAAGCCCCTTGCAAGAGGCAAATTTTTTGTAATTTCTCCCAGTTTTTTCAGCGTTAGGTATATAAATGAATTGTTTGTCAAATTTTGAGGTCAATTATATTTAATTGTAATTTATACTTTCTTTTTTTCCCCTTCATTTTATTTTTCGTATCGAGGAGTCGAGGTTTTGTTGATTTCTTCGGATTTCGATTACTGTAACTTCTCTTCTATTCGGCCGATTTTTATGAATGAGGTCTCTTTTTATTTGTGTTTTAACGGAGAGTAAGGAAAAAATTGCTAAATACATGCGAAACAATTTTTTTTGAAAATTGGATGAATCCTAGCGTGACGGTGAAATGGTTAATGAAGCGTGAGTAATTGGGGTACGGGTATCGGCCGCGTTGGGACCCAAGGCCCATTGTTCTTCGTGACGCCGACGCAGTGATCAGGAGCGTGGGGACGAGAGGGCTTAGTGGACTCCTGTATGAGCCACGTTTAGCAAATGGTCTAATGAGTCTCGAGGCTCATCACAGATTGCACTTACCACTATCCTGGTGGCCCCGGCTATCAGAGCAAGGAGTACCAACTTTTGAAAAGGATAACAGTGTTGTGGAGATATGTCAAAGCAACGTTGTGAACAAAACGGAGTGAGTGAAATTCTCATTCAAGGAGTGCCGAACTGGTCAGCCATCCTCGAATCAGTTCGCTTGCTTCCGCTTATATATGCATATTTTAAATCAGCGCGCCCCATTCTAAGGTTTTTTTAAAAAAAACCAAGAAACGTAGACTCTTGGTATTCATTACACATAAACTAGCGAGCCCCAGAATGAGAAACAAATTTTAATCATTATTATTGACGGATTAGTAAACTTTTTACACGCTTTGGAAAATCTCAGAAGTTCGCGGTAGTCACTTTTCGGTAAGGAACTAGGGGACTCGGTTATTGTGGGGGGGGGGGGGTCGAAACGATCGCAAAGGCGGTATACTACGTATACGCGCCAAAAATTCTCGGCGTTTTTACCAAGGTCCGTTGGTACCTTTACCATTTCAATTTTTTTACCAATTATTGGTAATTTATGGCTGTAGAGGCTGTATGGCGAAAGAGGTTTTAAATGAAACAAGGTGAGGAGTGCATTATGAGAGCGCCAAATCTGAAAACATAGTTTCACATGCAACATTTGATTGCTCGACGGTGAGAGCACCAAATATTCTTTGAATTATCACCCGCAAGTTTTTTTTTCTTTCTTTTCTTTTAGCCGTGTGAATGAAAATTCCATCCTTTAACTCACCTAAAATGAATAGTAAACATTATGTGTGCCGTAACATTTTTTATGAAAACTGAATCCCCTGGTAAAAATTGGCAGTAGAATCTGTGTTCCAAAATACCATAGACCTACAGCTGGCTGTAAGATTTCCAATAGCTTCTATAGCCGGCAACACAATTTCTTATAGCCTTTTATAGCCGATGGCGACTAAGCAACAGCCTAGCGATAAAGTGTATGCTTAACGTTACTAATTACGGATGCTAGGACTTAGTGAGTTTTTGGACTACCGCTCTCTTTTTGGGCCGTAGGATCTTGCTTTATTTTACGAGGAGAGCTCCGTTCTTTTGAAGGATGCCTGACATTCCTAAGATGTTGGAGCGCCTTCAATTTCGCATCATACTGTGCAATACCTCTGGTGTGAAATAGTTGCTTCAAGCGCCGCGGGCGGGCTGCCAGCGCTGAACGCGCATTGGCGCCTGCAAACCTAACAGGGATACTTCACGCATTGCGCAATGCGTGAAGTATCCCTGTTAGGTTTATAGGCGCCAGTGCGCCGCCGCTCCGCTTTGTGTTAGGCTTTAATATTTAATCTCGCGGAGTCAGCGTTTTTCAACTCATAACTTTGAAATTTTTGCACACTCTGTATGGATTATTTTCATTTTAATTGATGAAAAAAAATATGTAGTAAAGGAAAATATGATGTGTGTTTTCTAAAAATTAAGGTGATTTCGTACAAACTTAAGGATTTACAAAGCACACGAATTTCTACACAATTTCTCATAGCCTTTCATAGCCGATGGCGAAAAAGCAACAGCCAGGCGATAAAGTGTAAAGCCCGGCGATAGGAACTATAGCCCGGCTGCATAATTTTTTATCGCTTCGTGTAGCCCGGCCGTATGATTTTTTCCACTCTCTACAGCCAGCTATATGATTTTCTATCGCCTTCTTCAGTCGGCCATAAGAACTCCTATGGTATTTCGAAACGCAGCTCCTATCGCCAATTTTTATCAGGGGCATTAAATGTTATTCTCTTTTTAAGCTACATAATACATCTACTGGATCAAACTCAAAAGGAAATAAAAACAGCCCCTGCAAGCTGCCCAACCTCTTTAGAGATGGCTTAATTGTCTGGAAATTGAGTAGGCTTCTGACTCATCATCTCAAAAAAACATGAAACGGCTAGATTGAAATTTCAAAAGTGAACTCTTAAAATTTTTCCAATCCTGGAAGAGCCTAAATTCTGCCGGACATTACGTATGACCAATTTAAAAAAAGAAATAAAAAAATCGACCCCTCCATTAGATTGTGAAATTTTTAATATGTAGAGAATGTGTAATAGAAGATCTGATTGCATTTCTCAGGACACAAATACTCTGGAATCCTTATCAGCAGCCCTTGGTAATTCAATTGAAGTATCCTCTGACATACCCTGCCACATGGACGTTCAAGTGGTAAGTCTGAGATTTAAGTGTTAAGAATATTGTAGGGATGAACTTTTTTCAAGTTTTGAACTTGTTTGGGTACGATATACCTTAACACATTTTTAAAGCAGGTTTACCGTGGGTTGCAAAAAAGCACGGCGCGCCGCCAATCGTAAGAGCTCTGAACTTTTGAGTCCCCCGAGAGTAAAAGGAAGGAAGCTTCTTTTTCTTACATCTGCCTTATGTGCAAAATGAGTTAGGTGGAAATTTAGTAAAATATCGAGGCTTCCACTTTTCTTCTCGAAAAATAATGCATGTCAATTACTCGCTTTGTCTTTAACTAATTATTTGCATTTTGCAAGAAAGAACCAAGAACAATACAATGGCAATACTAAGATTGCGCAACTTACATTCTTCGCAATGAAATTAAATTAAAATTAAAGTTTATTGGGAGTAAAGACAAAACTTGTTTAGATGATCAGTTTATATTTGCAAGGTAAAAAAAACTGCACAATCTTGGCGATATTGGAATACTCTTGGTTCCTTTTTGCAACATGCAATACAAGTGTACTTGGACTACATTTTGCAATAAAGAACTACTCTCTCAGCCTCATTACAGAAACAACCTATACAACATTTGACTACCTATGCACAGGGCCGGATTAAGGGGGTGGACACATGGGCCGCGGCCCATGGCGGCAGAATTAGAGGGCGGCAAATTTTGCAATTTTTTTTAAATGCAGGTACAAAAAATCGGATTCAGAAAAAAATTACAAACAAGAAAAGGTGACAAAATCTCTCATTTCCTGAGAGTTCATTAATTTCTAATTTTGTCGTATTTCGGTGATACAAAAGACTGCGGACCTTTAATTAGTTGAGTTAAGAGAGAAACCAAACACGTAATTTGGCCTGGAGCGGCGCGCGGCGCAAAGAGAAATGACGAGGACTTGAGATGAAAAGGAGAAGCCCTCGACGCGGCGGTCGGCATGTAACACATATTAGCGCCTACGAGACTGCATGAATACTTCACGCATTGCGTCAAACACCGTACGGTCAACAGCGGTCGGCGCGGCGCGGCGTGAAACGCACAGTGCCTACAAGACTACATGAATACTTCACGCATTGCGCCAAATACAGTGTGGTCAGCGCGGCACGGCGGCGGAAGTTAAACTTATTAAACCACATTTATGTTTGTTCTTTCTTAATTTGTTTGTTCATTTCTCACAAATGAAAGGCCTCGTCCCCACAGAGATAGGTTTACGGAACTGAACTTTCGCGCGAAGTTCCGTGAACTTTTGCTAATAGTGTTGACAGAGCTTACGCAAAAAATGTGTCCAACACGAGTGAACGCGTCTTATGCACCCCTCTCCCTCCGGCACGTTCACTTGATGGTTTTTATTGATGTTTCAAAATGAATGAGAAGAGGGCGGCAAAATGCAGGCACGTGCTTTTAAAATTAAGTAAAAAATATTAGTTCTCTATTCCCAAATGCAATCCCCTTGATGCTCAGAAGGTAGGGTGAAGGGTAAAAAGCGCCCTTGTGTACTACGTCACACGATGGGATTAGCTCCCTCTGAAAAGATTCGTTTTGTGTATCCTACAATAAATTTCATAATTACTAGTTTTTGGTGTAGAAAATTATCGTTATGTTTACCTCGCTCTCCAACCCCCCCCCCTTTTACTCATTGCCTGGAAAGGGAAGGGTCTGTCAGTCCGTGCCGTTTGAAGAATCTCGAGCATTCAGATGAAAGAGCATCAAAACGAAGCCAAAATTCAGCGCATCTCCTTTCAAAACGGTCAGAAGCTTTTTTACGACCACAGCTATAGCAGGCTCTTGATCATAAAAGTTGACAAATACGCAATGCAATGTCGCGAATGGATCTCGACCGCGGGGCGTTGCTGCACAGATGAGCGTGGCTGCCATTGTGAACGGAGATCCGCTGGATTTCTACGGTAATAAATACGATTATGAGCTGAAATTATAATCTCGAATTTAGAACTGAAATTGGCAACACTGGACGGAGGGTGTACCGAGAGTGCTCCGATGCTCCCCGTAATAAAAACCCGCATAAAAAAGGGCCCTAACGAAATCACGAAGATGATCTTGCAAATGTTGCATCGCCCTCGAAAAGCTGAGAGGGATGCGGGAGTGTCAGATGCTGCGACGGATGTTTCTGGAGGAGTTCGTTCGATACTCGATGAAATCTCGGTGTTTTTTCACGCGTGGACTCTCCTCGCATTTTTCCGCGTACATAAAAGGCGGGTTGAACATGATTTCACTTCATTAAAAGAGACGTGTCATGCAACGTGTTATTTGACTGAAGTGGAAAAATCAGTGTTGCCAATCCACCGAAAGATCGATTGTAGGATCGTGTTCAGGTGGTTAAAGCTTTTAAAATGTGGTTATCCACGAGAAAAGGGAACTTAGGGGGTCGTTTATTATTATTATTTTTAAAAAAAGCCTAGGGCCTCGCTGATGGAGTTTCTACGGGTTTATTCACTACACGACCTCGCGGTCCCGGTTTCCTGCCTCGTCTGACCAAAAATAACCGAGAGAAAAGCTTGCGCGCGGGCCGATTATTGAAAGTTTAAAGCAGCCCAATAAGACATCGAAATATGATATATTACAACCTTAAGATAAGGCTCCAAACAGGGTTATGCCCTAGTCGTTCGTGGAAGGAGAAGAAGAAGAAGATGATGATGACGATGATGCTGATGTTGATGATACGGCTATATCTTGTCTTGTAGTCCTGACATAGTTTCAATAATTGGGCCGCTGGTGCGGGTGGTCTGGGGCACCCTGTATCACCGGCTTTTAAACACGATTTTATGATACGCGTAACTGATTTATTGCTGATGCACCATCTAATCTAACACGCTGATTAGACCGAAAAATCATAAATAAATAAATATAGCATGCATATAGGAAAGAACCAATATTGAATAGGCGCATTTTAAAAACGACTTACTTGTTTAATTGATTTCTGTACACAGAAATGTGTGTGTTTTATTTGCGTTTTCATTTACATGGTACATCTGTTGAACTCCATAAATTCCATGGCGGTTTTCGTCACCGGTTTCCCTTAAGCTATAATCTTTGAGAAAATTTCTCATTCTAACACGTTGCAAACTAGACGGCACCCAGTACCTCTTGAATGGAAAATTAGCAGACGTCATTTCTGACTACACATGTCCGTTAATTATTTCTTACCATGGAGAATATTCTGAAAAATGGCAAGATAATTCTTTTTTAACTGAAAAATGAAATAAGTTTGGAAATTTTGATACACTGGCACTCATACGTACTCGTTTGGCACGTATACTTAGAGTCTAACAACTGTACTAATTAGCATCTCCAAATGATTGGTTCGGATTGGTTGCATAAGTTGCACAAAAAGGAACTGTCCATATTTACCCTATTGGACCTCCAGTCTCTGTAAGGAAGACTTTCATGTAAACTTAGCGGCAAACATTTGTGGATGATCAATTGGCTACACCATTTCCAAATTTTCTGCACTATTTAATGTTAAGATCAGCATAAGCCATACTGCCATAGAGAAATGCCTCATGTGTATTCGAACCTCAGTGATCAATGGAAGAAAAGGAGTTTTTGATGCCTGAGTGGTATATGGTATACTGACGAGACTTGCTGTTTCCGAACTAAAGCTGCTAGAGAATGAATTTTCCTACGCAAGCTTTTGTAAATTGAGTTAGGTTTGTTAATTTGCCCGTTGACTTCCGGGCATGACTTTCACCCCATAGATATGATAGCAGAACGAGGTTTCTAAAATAAAAAGGAGCTTTCGATGTCTGAAACCTTTACTGATGAGACTTGCTGTTTCCTAACTAAACCTGTTCGAAAATGAATTTTCCGAGGCAAGCTTTTATAAATTTAGTTGGGTTTGTCAATTTGACCGTTGACTTCTGAGCATAAATTTCTTCCTATGGGTATGATAGCAGGACGAGGTTTCTAAAATTCCTTAAAAGTTTCTGTGTGTTCGAAAGTTTGCTTTCCTTGCTTGTATTAAGGCGCAATCTAATTTTCACAGACAAAACGAGTGACCGGACACTGTGTCAGTCTAGGACATGCGACCAGGGGCTGCATCGCGGGATCCTACTTGCACCCTTTTCATCACGAATGTCTCGGTAAATAATCATCCACCCTCACATCACACCCCGTTCCCGAAAATGATCTCGTGACCTTGATTTTCGTCCCGACATGATCAGCCTTTTTCTACTCCATGTTAATGAATTTTGTTCTCTGTTTACTATGATAGCTATCAATAAAATTTTTTGTTTTACACTTTTCTTAATACCTCGGTTTTGTTCTTCATTTTTCTCTAGCCATGTGATGATTACCCTTTTGAGCATGTCTCGGGACTCGTACAGACCTCTTCTGCCGTGCCAAGAGAGAACGCCATAAAAACCGAATCTACTAGGAAAATTGTGAATAGTATTTTCCAAAATTCTCAGACAATTTTGTGCCCAATTTCATCTGTTTCAAGGAAAGATATGCATGAATATCGTCAATAATACATGTTTTATAAAGGGAAATTTGGCAACTCTCGAATGTTCATACGGCGTTTTTCCTTAGGACGGCAGTGTTGCAAACCTAACTACCAGTGGCGTGGCGTAAATTGCGATATATCGATTGTTATGCCGTTTAAACCTATGGTAAAGAATCGATTATTAAGGTGTTCGCTGCGAACACCCTGATAATCGATCTTTTTTCATAGGTGTAAATGGCAGAACAATCGATATATCGCAATTCACGCCACGCCACTGCTAACTACAACTGCAAACTCACTTTTCTCCAGGAATAGTGACACAATAAAAAAATCGTTATTTATGAGAAAGGCAAGTATTAAACAAAATTAAATCAGATGATTGAAATGAGGGGTTTGGAGGACAAGGCGCATAAGTGCAATTTTCGAAAAAATTGAGGCATCAACGATTTCAAGTAAAACGAATTTTAATGAATATTCTGTGAAAAATTCGCTCCTATATTTCAATTTTTAAGCCACGAAAAGTCGGTCTGAACGTTCTTCCCGCCATTAGGAGCCATGTAGTTTTGAAACTTCAAACATGTATTTCTCGGAACAGCAAAAACTGTACTTAAGCGCCTTGTCCTTCAGCCCTTCTCATGCAAATATGCTGTTTGAAAAGTAGTGAGACAAACGCTGTAGCTTCAAAAGTAAGCTAGGTAGAAGTTTTTTCTTGGTCTAACTTGGAATACAGGCTTAGCGTTCTTATGAGACCAAGATCAACTCATTTAGTTAAAAATAAAGAAAGTTAAGGAGGTTTAAATAGAGAATGAAGCGTTTCGCATACGACTTTTAACAAGGATTTTTGCTCCATGGAATTGATCTCTAAAGGTACTGCGCGATAAGATGTTACCCCAAAAACAACGTGTCAACCCTAAGAACTGCTTGACGACATTTTACCGTAGTCGTCATTCGACTAGAAGACCCAAGGATCCCAAAGGAGACTAGCCCGGTTGTCAGATTTAACCCTCAACAATCGGGAAAATCTGACCAAAGCGAGAAAATGCCTTCATGGGCGCGGGTAAATCGCAGTTACAGAGTGGTTTTTGCTCTGTTCTGTGCTAATTTTTGGCTAAATTACAAGATGATGTTCCTTCACCAAATCATTGTCATCCTACACGTAGTGTGGAAGACAACAGAACAATGATTAATCTTCGTGTTGCGGCTGCGGCGGTTGATTGCAGGTGATCTAAATTAATTTCGCCTTCAATATAACAATGTAGGCAACCCGAGCTCCTTCACGTTAAAATAGTGGTATCGCTCTCTCGCGATGCTTTATGTTGCGGCTATGTGACAATCCTTATGAATACCCTATCACACACGATGCAGAGGACGTTTTTATTCTTTACGCGCATTGCCACACAATATTAATGTTAATGAGTCACAGCTCGTGAAGACGATCCATAATTTTTTCACCCCCTGGAAGGTGTAAGTAATCAGAGGCTATACAGTATGAACATGAAAAAATAAGAACAAGTAAAAGAGAAGTAAATTAAAATTGAAAGTAAAATAAAAGAGCTACCTTTGACCTTTTACCTTTTGAATCAAAGACCTTAATTGATGGGTCGAAGCATCCGACACAAATTAAAAATTAGACGTATTTACGTATGCTAAAAGGAACTATGAACATATGTTTTGCATGTAACATAGTTCCTTTTAACATTAATGCGTTATATTGATGTTGCCTCCGTCTTCAGGTAAATAGATTCAAATTTTCAAGCCAAATGCGACGCAGGTTTAGCCTATGTTGATTAAAATCCAGAGTGCAGTAAGGTGTAAGTAATGCGGTATTAGCATTTTGTATGGACACGAAGGAGGCCCAGCCAAGCAATGTTGTCTTGTGGTGACAGAATATTTATCAAATCGCAGCAGGTAATTTATTGCGAGTAAAATCACAAAATCCAAGAGCATACGAAGGATTTTTATTTTTTCTTTCCTCACACATTCAATTAAGAATTCGATTGAGAGTCTTTATCTCATAAATTGTTGGCGGATTCCTTTGTAACTGTTGAAGATATTAAGATGCGTTATAGACAGGGCCGTATTTAGGGGGTGGCCAAATTGGGCACGGCCCATGGTGGCAAATTTTGCAATTTTTTAAAAATTTAGTTATAAAAAAAAAACAGGATAAAAAAAAATTACAAACGAGAAAAGACGACAAAATCTCTCATTTCATGAGAGTTAAAGTATAATGATTACCAATTTAATCGTCTTTCGGTGGTACAAGAGACAGCACCTTTCACTAGTCTAGTTGAGAGAGAGATCAAACACGCAATTTGGGCAGCAACAATGCGGCGCAGAGAGCAATGATGACCAGGACTTGAGATGAAAAGGAAGCCCTCGGCGCGCCGGTCAGCATGATACACATATTAGCGCCTGCAAGACTTCATGAATACTTTACGCATTGCGACAAAAACAGCGCGGTCTGCAGCGGTCGGCATGAAACGCGTAGCGCCTACAAGTCTGCATGAATACTTCACACATTGCGCCTTCACGCGCCCTTTCACGCAAAATACAGGCGGCCCGTGGGCGGCAAGTAGGTAAATCCGGCCCTGGTTATGGACATTAACTAACATTTAACTTAACTTTAACTTTTAAGAAAGCAAAAGTCCCCACATTTCAAACGATAACTTCTTAGAATTTAGGGAGGAAGAGCAATAATCGAAGCGAAAGAAAATTAAAAGATGGAAAAAGGCTCATAGGTTTATAACTTCACAAAGCCTGCCGACCCGGACGAATTGTAGCATTTTAACCACTCATTAAGGTGATTTATGCGCGGTGAATACGTCGTGGGGCTTGTTATTTTCAAGAAAAACGTATGAAAACTTCAAGGCGAGGTAAGTGCATTGTTTCACATTATCACCCGCGACTCTATCTGTATATTATTTCAATCAGTGCTTTCACAACCATTAATTATTAGTCAAAATGTGAATTTAATTTATGAAAATTTTTGCTCGCAATGCGGAACTCCTATCTTATTGGCACCTTCTTTCAGTATTTTGTAGAGGCCACACTGAATAAGTTTTTGCACTTCTGAAGTGCGATAGAGGATCCGCTGCCCTCCGTCTAACATTGAGAGTGCAGATATTTGTATATGAATAAACATGTCTGCAACGTCACAACCCGAAATCAATTCTCCAGTTCTTTCTGAAGAGATTGATGGGTAGGTAATACATGACACTTTTTTTCTTAAACACGCCGAACAGTTTGGCCTGAAATTTTGTTTTTTCAACTTAAAGTATGACTCTTCGTGTCATGAAAAAAAAAGAAAAAAAAAATCACGTCAAACCGTTCGGTGTTTTTATAGAAAAAGTCTTATGTATCACTCATGAATCTCCTCAGGAAAAACTAGAGAATTGATTTCTGAAATCTCCGACGCATAAATCGTCGTTTCTCCCACGAAAGAACGTAACTAAATTTCAGCGCTGCCAAATTTCCCTTCGCAAATTGTAATTTCAAGAGGAGAATTTTGGGCTTTTCTAACTGAAAATTTTAATGATATTTCTTTTGATTCCATGCAAAAATCAGGCAGATTTTTGACGAAAATTAAACGGGTACATTCTTATAAAAAATTGAATTCCTTGGGTCAATTTTGCAACCTTGGAATGAAGTTACGTTCCTTCGTCCGGGAAGCGACGAAATTTTCCCTTGTTTTCGAGATTTTTCGATGAAAAATGAACCCCGTGTTATTTTCCATAAGAGCCCTAGAAAGTGGGCACCAGGCGGATCAGGCGGAGAGCCATCGGTGACTCGTAAAAGTAGAGGGTGCCGCTCGGCCCGCAATTCAAATTGCAACTCTTGTTTTCTCTTCGGCTGAGTGGCAACACGGTGGAAGGAAAAGCTCAAAAGCCGTGAAAAAGGGATCCCCGGAGAAACGGTGGCGCGCGGTTTGAAGTCAAGTGTCGTCGTCGAAAGCTCGAAGCTCGGTCCAGTCATTCAAAATCGGCAGAGAATGAAGCTCCCGCAAGCGGGCTTCCTCCTCTTCCTCCTGTACCAGCGCGCCCAGTTCGCCCGGGGCTTCGGCCCCAACCCCAAACCGAGTTTCAGCCTCGACCTTGACCACGGTCATCGGAGTGACCCCCGAAACTTGATCCGGACCCTCAATGACCTCATCGCGTACTACAAGTCCCACCCGCAGAAAGTTGACGTCAACCTCTTCTTCGGCTTCGCCATTGTTGCCGGTAATTTTGAAAATTATTAGTTTTTGCTTAACTTAAATTTTAATAAAAAATTTAGAGTCAGTAAATTGGATTGGATTTTGTAAAAAGGAACCAATAGTTTTCCGATGTCGCTAAGATGGCGCAACTGGAAAATTTGCAGGTGTCTTTTTTGTGAATTTCATCATTAAAATGGTACTGATGGAAAAACTGACTATGAGGATATCCTTGGTTTCTAAATTGGACAATTATTGGAGAACGTATGACGAAATAACCTAATCTGCTAAAATACATGTGTTTAAATGAAGAATACCGCGAGATGACGTCATAAGATGGCACATTTTCTTACTTTTAAATCAATTTTTCTCAAATTTCCCATCTGAGAAAAAAAGTATGAAAAATACTGCGAAGTCAGCTGATTGGGCATTCTCAGATGAAGTAATACAAATTGTTTGTGCTAATTCTCCGGTATTTTTCGGTAAAAGAGCGTATGAGACCTCCAATGCTTCTAAGATTTTGCAACGTAGTTCTCTACTTGTATGTAACGTAGCCAATAGTTCTACTATGAATTTTTCCTAAATCTGCTCCGAGTTTTTCCTCACTATTGTAAGGAAGTAAATCAACTGTGAGTGAATTTCATCTGCCGGAAATGCTATAAAAAATAGCACAATCTTAGCAGCATTGCAAGCCTCATGCGCCCTTTCACCGAAAAATGCCTCAATTATAAACCGATCATGTAAACAGGTATTATCTTTACTCACAATGAAGTATAAATCCAAGACTAAAATTACCTTTGCAAATTTAATTTTTTGCAAGACTTCGGTAATTTTATTGCAAAGAATGTTAACAGCACAATCCTAGCAACTTTGGAAAGCTCTTAGTTCCGTTTTGCAAAATGCAATCCAATTATAAAAAATATAAACTTCCTAGTGAAGTAGGATTTTGGTCTTATAATTCCAAGGAAAATTCCAGGCCCTTGGAAAAATTTTGCTACACAACAAGAAAGATTGATTTCAATGCATTGAGAAAAATTCTTCAGTTGATAATTCTTTTGAATCAACCGGAAATCTCTTCAAAGTGACAGGCCGTCTCTGTAAAATAATAGAAATATCGTTTGAAATATGGAGATTTCCAATTGACTCAATGAAAATCCTCTTCCGGGAATTATTAATTGGATTTTTATTGATTCCACAGAAAATTTCCTCTGTGTGGTCGATTCAGTTTAATACATTTAGGCGGTGGCGATGACATTCAATTTAGTATTTCCATAACTTTTTCGTTGTTCTGTACAGAAAATACAACTGACAGAAAATATGACACGGAAGTTTTGTGAATATGGAACATGGAACATAAACCACAACCTCCGGTTTCCCGATTTTTCCATTGTATTCTCCACAATATTAAATGAAAACTGTACCGAGATAACCACAAAATTTGGGTTGGTTTATGTTTCATTTCCTCTATTACCCGAAAACTAAACAAAAAAACCAATTATTTTTCTCTTTGTGCGCGCTATTAGAATCTCGGATGGTTTCAAGTTGATTCATGACTCTACACTCCATATTTTGCGCTTCTTGTTTTTTGCACGTCACTTTGGGTCCTACATCGCGTTTTAATATTTTGGCAAATAAGTAAAAAGTTGCCTTTTTCAGTCAGATTTTAACTGTTTCTATGGAATATAGCTGCCTGAACAAGCATGGCTTGGGGTTTATGAGCAGTTGACGGTTAACACGTACATCTCAATCATAGAAATTTTGTCGAATTTTACTTTCTTTTCTGTCCATAAAATTTGCTGAGGCAACAATAGTCGCTGCCGCTAAAATTGCAGTCCGTTACTTGGGTTCTTACTCTCCTTTGCCGTAGTGAGCATGAACTTGAGTTGATTTTCCGATTTGATGCTCGTCACCATCTTAGATTACAATGTGCGCGATGACCTCACGATTCAAGGAAGTGATTTAAATTTAAAGCAGTTTCCCAATTCCCAGAATAGCCATTTACAAGATTATCACGTTAGGGGAGGAAGTGCGCTCAGCCTTCACAACAATCAAATTTATATTAGTGATGAGTTCTCGGTAAAATATTGTTTACGTGGCTGATGTAAGATCTTGTAATTATTTCGTTACGGATTCAAGCTACTGATTCGGAAATAGAGCCAACCAGTGGCCTGAAAATATAAAGCCTTAAAAAGGAAGTATGGTTTCCAAAGCCCAAAGAGCCTTGCAGATTGCAATCAATTTGTGATAATTACAAGGTAAAATTATTGGAATTGTGTCGGAGTGTTATGCATGTTGTCTATTCCCTGATTGAAGGAGCTCATCCTATTGAAATTTATTGAAATAAAATTGGAATAAGTTCCAACATTGTTGGCATTGCCATTTCCTACCATTCTTTCAAATGGGAATCATTAAATTGATCGTTTAAAATCGGCATTTATTGACAAAATTATGTGCCAAATTGCTAAGTATTTGATTGCATTAATTTTCAAAAATAAGTCAATACTTTTATTGTGCTCTGCCACTGAGAGTGTCCGCAAAAATATATCCCGTATTACATTCTTGAATGCCTTTATTTTCACATTAAATAATTGCTTTCTTCTCACGAAATTAGGTCAGCTAGAGATCATTCAGGAGTCCATCCCGCAGGGATCATCATGGCACACACAAATTCAGAAACTGAGGAACGACTTGACACAGTTCAGAGAGGAGACAGTGTGTTTGGGATGCCCTCTCTTCAATTATATCTATGATTATTGTAAGTTCACGACAGTTTGTCCAAATTTTATAATTCATTGTAAGAGAAAATCATGATATGCGCACAGGATGTCCCGAAAGGTATTGCTACTAACGAGTGATAAAATAAAGCCATCAGTCATTCGATGATCTTACGCCTTATGCAACGGTCTCTTTTCAAGACAGCGCACACTAAGGTAACGCTGAGGGAATATTTCTCAAAAACGTTATTAACGACACCTGAGTTACAATTGTCCAAAAATAAAGCCGAAAATTCATGGTGTTTTTCGATTCCGCAAATCGGCCAATAACACAAATGAAATACTACTAAATGCCTAGAACTATTCACTACAGCTCACATGATCAGTTACATTCTTGAACTACTGGAATAGACGTTGACAAACTTGATAAAAGCATTGGTTTTTATTCCTGTAAATCAATTATTGCTGAAGTGCGAAACCACGTATCTCCTTTCATGACGATGCGAAGTTCCTGTCATACTTTCTTTATTCTGCCCTGGTAAAAATTGGCGATAGGAGCTGCATTTCAAAATACCATAGGAGTTCTTATAGCCGACTGAAGAGAGCGATAGGAAATCATGTAGCTGGTTGTAGGAAGTGGAAAAAATCATACGGCCGGGCTACACGAAGCGATAAAAAATTATACAGCCGGGCTATAGTTCCTATCGCCGGGCTTTACACTTTATCGCCTGGCTGTTGCTTTTTCGCCATCGGCTATAAAAGGCTATAAGAAATTGAGTAGAAATTCTTGTGCTTTGTAAATCCTTAAATTTGTACGGAATTACCTCAATAGTTACAAAACGCACATTATATTTTCCTTTACTACATTTTTTTTTCCATCAACTAAAATGAGAATAATCCATACAAGATGTGCAAACATTTCAAAGTCATGAGTTGAAAAACGCTGACTCCGCGAGATTAAATAGAAGAGCCTAACACAAAAAGGAGCGGCGGCGCACCGGCGCCTACAAACCTAACAGGGATACTTCACGCATTGCGCAATGCGTGAAGTATCCCTGTTAGGTTTGCAGGCGCCAATGCGTATTCAGCGCTGGCTGCTCGCCCGCCGCGGCCGCGCCGCAGCGTACCGCGGCGCTTGAAGCAACTATTTCACACCAGAGGTATTGCACAGTATCATACGAAATTGGTGGCGCTCCAACATCTTAGGAATGTCAGGCATCCTTCAAAAGAACGGAGCTTTCCTCGCAAATTAAATCAAGATACTGCGGCCCAAAAAGAGAGCGGTAGTCCAAAAACTCACTAAGTGCTAGTATCCGTAATTAGTAACGTTTAGCATACACTTTATCGCCAGGCTGTTGCTTAATCGCCATCGGCTATAAAAGGCTAAAAGAAATTGTGTAGCCGGCTATAGAAGCTATTGGAAATCTTACAGCCGGCTGTAGGTCTATGGTATTTTGGAACACAGATTCTACTGCCAATTTTTACCAGGGTGTAGAAAGTTGTTCCACACGATTTCTTGAAAAAGTCTTTGATTTTGCTTCTCTATTAGCAGAATATTTCAGACTATGGAGTTGGCTCGTCTCTCTTCGAAAAAATAAACTAGGAGCGGAAGTTTTGAAACACTGCAATAGAGATACATGGTATCGCACTTTAGTCATTGACACAGTCCATATGATCACGCACGCTCTTAAACTACCGGAAACGTTAAGAATCTTGATAAAATCATTGATTTCTATTCTTCTATACAAAACAAATACTGTCATTTTTTCAGTGAATGTGATTTCTCCCATGACGTGGACTTTCAGCGAGGGCTACAAATGGCTGAAATTTCGAGATTTCCCGACAAGGCTGCCGCGACAACGCTACGATGAGACGCTGAACCGTAACGCATCGGACTTCTGCCTGCAGAGAATTTCCGAAGAATGCAACGCTTCAGAAGAGTGCATCGCTATGGAGCTGAACCCTTCGAGCACAGGATACGCTTTAACTCATCAAATCCTTTTCCTTATCTTAGCAAAACAGGTGGGTCGAAGGTCAAATACAGTGGTCGATAGACCCTCAGAAAATGTCTAAAAATAAGTAAACGCTCTCAATTCAATCATATTCAGTTCCCAAAATATCGATGCACTGAAAAAAAATTCTCGGCGTATTTACAAAGGTCCGTTGGTACCTTTACCATCTCACTTTTTTTTACCAATGATTGGTAATTTTACCAAGACAGACTGGTAAGCTTACCTAAAAACCGGTATTTTTCCTGTTTTTTTTCAGGTAAGTATACCACTTTTATTGGTAATCAATTCTCGGTAACTTTGACATTTTATCTAGGTAATTCTACCACAGTCGATAAAAAATATTGGTGTTTTTACCAAGGTCCAGTAAAATTACCGAGAAAGTTCAATTTTCTCGGTAAAATTACCAATTCTATAAATTGTAATTTTACCAAGAAATCCAAATTTACCAAGAGATCAAATAGAACCCTGAATTCTTGGTAATTTTACTCTTTTCTTAGTAAACACACCAAGATTTTTTTTCAGTGTGATACGCCGCAAACGGAGATACGTGGTTTTGCACTTGAGTCATCGATATCGATGGAAAAAAAGTGAGACCAGGTATCTCCGTTTGCGACGTATCAGACGGCCTTGTATATTCTTTTTCATATTTGGAAGAAAGTCCACGTAATTTCTTGAAAACTTCTTTGATTTTTCTTCTCTGTAAGCAAAGTATTTTGTATGAATGTCAAGCTAAGTTTCTCTTCGAAAAAATATAAAAAGAGCGGAGAGCTTGAAACACCGCAATGGAGATACGTGGTTTCGCACTTCGGCCATCGATGTAGTTCCTGAAAGCTAAAACAACTATTATAGATATTAGTTTCAAACAAGTGACATAATGTATGCTTGCCACATTGGCTTTGAAGAACCTATTTTGTGTTTGATGGAAAGATTATCAAAATATGATTATTCCGTGGCGTGCTGCATAAATCGACGAATCCATAATAATCCATCCTTGCCCATCCCTCGGGTCTGAATTAAGATCTTGTCGTAAACAAAATGTCGTCGTTTAAAAAAAAGAAAAGAATTAGAGTAATAAGTTCTTACTCCTCTCGTTCCTAGCAAATACCCCATTTACACAAGGCCTCTTTAGCTTATGTACATTCCCATGAAAAAGCGCTGGTGAGTATGCCCAAGTTTTATCCCAGAGCTTGGAATAGAAGGTATACTCTATTGCGACTTCAAGATATGCAAAAGCATCTAGAAAATATAACGTTTCACCTTTTTTTTTTTTTTTTTTTTTTTTTTTTTTTTTTTTTTTGAGAACCACATTTAAAATTAATTTTTCAAAGAATCAAAACCAGTTCCAATTACATTATATTTCACCTCTCCTAATAGTATATTCTCCAGTAATGTATGATTGACGTCAAAAGTAACAATCTTCACCGGTCAGGTGACAGCATTTAACTAATACAGGTTTTTTTTAAAATCATTATCAGTTTGGCTGTGAGATCAAATTCAAAGGAGAGATCCTAGACGCGGAGGATATAATTCAACGCAAATGTACTCATGCGTTTGTGGAGGCGCATGATCTCTATAGGAAGTCAATATTCCGTGATCCGGTGGCTTGCGATCTGTTCATTGAACAAAGTAAGTCTCTAACAAACATTCTATTTCTGTTTCATTTCACTTGATTCATTTATAATATCTTCTAAATACAAATTTTTCTTCCGAATTATACTTTTTTGGGTTCGCATTAAACAAAAAGGGACCCCACTTAATAACAACCTTTAAACATGTAGTTTCCTCATGCTTTGAGTCTCCTTCAATATACCTTGACGGAACCAGCTCTTCTCTGAAGCAAGTTTGGTTGCCTTACCCTGGAATCCCGTGCTCGAGAAATTATGATTGGGCAAATACCACACAAAATGACGAGACTGCAAGCGAAGAAGTAAAACTCTTAGTCTAATCCTTCATTTAGACGTAATTTTATTCACACACCATAGCAGAGAGTCTAACAGTTATAATTAATGGAGTGTATTTTTGTATAATATTATTATATACAAAGTTTATGGTGGTTTTTGTGCGATGGACTTGAAATGAATCAATCATTCACTGCAGCTTTGCTTTATAGACTCTTAAAATCAACTTTCCGACGGAAAGACGAAATGAGAGTTACGGAGGACGAGGCGCATAAATGCAGTTTTTAAAAAAATTGAGATATTCATGAACTCAACTAAATCTAGTTTGAAAGTATATTCTGTGAAAAATCCACGACTAAAATCCAACTTTAAAGTATCACAACGTGAGTTTAAACTTCCTTTCTGCCATAAAGATCCATGTAATTTTGAAATATTAAGCATGTTTTTCTTGAAATAGCAAAAACTGCACTTATGCGCCTTGTCTTCCAAGCCCCTCAAATCAGCGAAGCGCGAGAAAAAAAATAAGACTCATATTTTTTCAGAAGGAAGGAGCAAAGAAAAAGCATATTTCTTTAAATAAGAGAAGGTGTTAAGCTAAGAAAATTATAAATAGTACTAAATTACTAATAATTATTATCATCGAACATTACAATAACTGAATTTTTGTAGTTTTGATCGCCTAATCATCTTAATTTGTTCTCACAGTTGCAGTATGCGGTCTGATGAACATTGTCGATTTCTTCGAGATTCGGCGCTGGTTTGAATTTATTCTATCTTTACAAACGCCTGAGGGATATTTTACTTGCAGCAATTACCATACAAACGTGCCAAGGTGGGCATTTCATTCACTTACTAGATTCATAGTTATATTACTTTTCCCGTACAGGTCTGATAAGTTTTCCCACTGGAAAACTCACAATCATGTACTCTCACGTTTATTCAGTGCATTATAGATTTAAAAAAGGTCGAGCTGTTAAAACTTTACCTTCAAGGCGACTTCAGAACTTAGCTAAACGGCTTAGTTAGTAGTTAAATTAAGAATAAATCACGAATGTTAGCCGCAAAGTTCAATTTTCTAAAAATTTGAATCATAATTTTGTATCTACGATGAGAGGATGATTCCCGGGAGTCTAAAGTGCAAATCCCCCCCAAAAAAGGGAAAAAAGCATAGTCCTAAAATGTAAAGGGAGAGTGTTGAGGCTCAAATCAAAAACGTAAATACCTAAATGAAAGAAAACTTAAGAGAAACATATACCTATATACCCTAATGTTTTTGTCAACGCTCTACGTATTAGGATTTGTCCTGCGGAACTTGGGGCCGATTACATTTGAATACTTTGTCATTGATTCGTTTTTTATGAATCCGGCCCACTGGTGCTCCAATTCAATGACCCAAACAATCGGTAACGTAATACATTTTTTAAAGTATTTTCCTAAAAGGAAAACAAAAATCCCAGCAAAGGACGACTCGTCCAAGAAGCCTTAAGGTAACTCTACAAATCATGCTCATATTCCTGGATTTTTGGCAATTTTAAGGACCAGCTACGTTGAAACACATTTAAACAACAAATTCATTTTTCGAAAGATAGACAAAATCACGATAAAAAGCGTCAATATTTCACCTCATCAGCACGAGTAGGCAACGCTGGAATGAAATTATGTCGTAAAAGAAAAGAGCAAATAACCCTCAGTTAGTATCGGAAGCGACGCGAAAAATATGCGAATATCATTACAACTCCTGGATGAACTATTCGAGCTTGACGGATGTCCGTGTTGCATACGCACGAAAGTGAAGGCGTTTTGACTCTCCAGGCGCTCACTGCTTCACTAGGCGGGGAGCAGCGCAGTAGTACTATGAAAATTTCAAAGGACAGAGCGCCTTCAATCCTTCGTTGAAATTACAAAGACATCTTTTAGGCGCGCGAATAGTTGATCTACGAACCATCTCTGCAAATCATCATATCATAACTAGAACACAAAAGATACGCAAAAGATATCGACGGTGTCAGTCCGCAACTACATATCACGTTTGCGGTGTTTGAAAATCTCCCCTCCTTTTTTATTTTTTAAAGGAGAACAAATTGACATCATTCCTTGAGATTTTCGCAGAATTTTCTTCGGACATAGAAGAACAATTATTGCAAGCTTTGTAGAAATTCCGTTGAAAAGTTTTCCATTTAAATAATGAAAGGTAGTTGCGGCTTGAGGAGTTACGCCGCACCGTCGATATCTACGCCTGTGTGCAACTATTCATGCCTGTGAGATGTCTCTGTATTGTCAACGAACAATTAAAAACGTTCTATCCTTCTTGAATTCTCGCAGCCCACGGGTGAAGCGGTGAAAGTCAAAACGCCTTCACTCAAGTGCGTATGCAACACGGACGTCCGTGGAGCTCGAATAGTCGCATCCGGAGGCGTTATAGTGAAATTCACGCTCTGCTTATTTCTCTCACTTTTTGAACTTAATTCAACGTTGCCTATTGTGCCGATGATGTAAACAATTATTGATTTTTATCGCAAAATTGTCAATTTCCCGATAGATACATCGACAGTTATATGTATTCCTTTACTTAGGTATTTGCACTTTCAAAAAACCTTCACAAACATACGCATTATTATTTTTTTTTTGCTTGTTTGTTGAACAGACACTGTCTGTTATTACACAACTAATTTTTTTTTTAATTGCAACCAGATTTCTAACAAAGATAATGTCATTTTTTTCTCCATTTCCCAGTCGCAAGGGCTATTACCTACTTGCGAAAACGACTCGCTGCTTTCACCACCTCAAAAGCACAAATCTGCATTTTCGCTTTTGAGATTTGCACTTTCGTAATTTTACATTATGAGACTCAAAACCTCATTTAATTCTATATATATATATATATATGAGTCGCTTTTATAGCGCTCTTTGGCGCTGTGCGACGCCTAATCGCCACAAAGCTCGGTCTTCCCACAGGTCATCAGGGAGTTGACAATCTCTTATCTCATTTAACACCCCCTGTCGCCAACCTCTCACTGGGCGTCCCCTACGTCTCCTCCCAGGAGGAACCCAATCAAGCATCTTTTTTGGCAGCCTCTCTTCCG